AAGGATCATTTTCCTCTTCCTCTTATTGATGACATTTTGGATAAACTTCAAGACGCCCAAATTTTTAGTACTCTTGACCTACGTAACGGCTTTTTTCATGTGCCAGTAGCGGACGAAAGTAAACCATATACAGCTTTTGTAACTCACAACGGACAATTCCAGTTTCTTCGAATGCCATTTGGTCTTTCAAATTGCCCTTCAGTATTCCAGCGCTTTATAAATTATGTTTTTCGTGATTTAATTGTCAAAGGTTATGTTTTACCCTACATGGACGATGTAGTTATTCCCGCCAAAAATGAAAATGAGGCCATTCATCGTCTCAACCAAGTACTCAAAGTTGCTAGTGAATATGGTCTAGAAGTTAATTTTCGTAAATGTCAATTTCTTCACAAAAAAAATCGAATTTCTTGGACATATCGTTGAAGGTGGTAAACTTTTTCCTTCCCCTTCGAAAACAAAATCTGTAATTAACTACCCCGAACCTAAGAGTACGAAAGACGTCCAACGCTTTCTCGGTCTCACGGGATATTTTAGGAAATTCATCCCCTCATATTCTAGCATTGCAAAACCCCTTAGTGATCTCCTTCGTAAGGACACCCCCTTTCAATTTCATGCTGATCAGAAAGCCGCATTTCACAGATTAAAATATTTGCTTTCTCAACAACCAGTTTTAAGTATTTTTAATCAAAAGAGTCCTATCGAAATTCATACCGACGCATCCATTGATGGCTTGGGGGCAGTCCTACTACAAAAATCTATGAACGATAACAGCTTTCACCCTGTCTACTACATGTCAAAGAAAACATCGGACAACGAGCGTAAATACACCAGTTATGAACTCGAAGTCCTTGCAATTGTTGAAGCTTTAAAAAAGTTCCGTATTTACGTCCTTGGTTCACATTTTAAAATTATCACTGACTGCAACGCTTTTGTGCAAACTTTAAATAAAAAGGAACTCAATTCGAGAATAGCCCGATGGGTTTTATATCTCCAAGATTTTGACTACGAAATTGAGCACCGTACCGGCTCAAAGATGGCTCACGTGGATGCCCTCAGTCGCAGTCCATGTTGCATGACTATCCAAGACAGTGTCCTTCTCCAATTTCGCAAAGCACAAGAAAACCGACGAGCATATTACGGCTATTAAAGCACTCCTTCAAACGAACGCCTTCGTATGATAACTTTCTCGTTAAGAACAATCTCCTGTACAAAAACGTCAACGGCATTGACTTACTTGTGGTGCCTGAGGATATGCAGGCAAATGTCATAAAAACAGCTCACGAACGAGGCCACTTCGCCGTAATCCGCACTCAAGAACTTTTAAACAACGAATATTTTATCCCAAATCTGAAAGAAAAAATTGAGCGGTGTATCCATAACTGCATCCCATGCATCCTCAATAATCGAAAGCGTGGCAAACAAGACGGACTACTGCACCCCATTGAGAAAGACGACGCACCCTTGCACACGTACCATATCGACCACCTAGGTCCCCTTGCCACCACATCAAAGAAATACAAACATATTTTGGCAGTTATAGACTCGTTTACTAAATTCGTGTGGCTTTATCCGACAAAGTCTACAGACGCAGATGAAGTTATCAGTCGGCTGGAATCTCAAAGATCAGTCTTCGGAAATCCTTCACGGATTATCTCTGATCGAGGCCCTGCATTCAAATCCACTGCATTTGCAAACTATTGTGACACACAGAGAATAAAGCACGTTCTTATTACAGCTGGCCTCCCACGATCGAACGGTCAAGTTGAGCGTTTGAACTCCATTATTATTGCTGTCCTTTCTAAACTCTCCATAACCAACCCTGAGCAATGGTACCGCCATGTTCCCGCCGTGCAACAAATTATTAATTCAACTTTTCAACGTAGCATCAATTCTACTCCCTTTGAACTTCTCTTTGGGACTAAAATGAAATCGCAAAACGACATAAACATCGCTGCTCTAATCGACGAGGAGATCAAATCTGCATTCATTCAGCAACGTGACGATCTCCGTAAGGACGCAAAACAGCAAATCTCTAAAGTGCAAGACGAAAATCGCCGTACTTATAATTTGCGACGAAAACAGGCACAAAAATTTCAACTTCATGACCTCGTGGCTATCAAACGAACTCAGTTTGGCCCTGGTCTAAAACTCAAACAGAAATTTCTCGGACCTTATAAAGTCACCAGGCTCAAACAAAATGACACATATGATGTGGAAAAGTGTGCATTTTTCGACGGACCATCCAAAACATCTACTTGTGCTGAATACATGAAACCCTGGTCCAACAATATTGAACGTATCACTTAATTTTTATTAAACTGTCAGCATTATAGGTCCTCCTGTGTTTGGACAGATGACACCTGAGAACTTTCTAATATTTTTTTCCCTCATATCAACTTTTTAATTCATTTTGTCATACTAATGTTCTTTTTATTTTTAGTTAACTGCTGTGGTGTGTTTAAACTATTTTTTTTTGCTCCATTTGTGTAAGTATCCTCAGCTTTGTATCTACAGATTATTTTTTCTCATACCTATGTTACTATATTATAATAATTTTTTTTTAAATTTGATGATATACTATGTTGCTTCAGGCGAGGTCGCCTGTCCGGTCATGATGGCCGAATGTGGGAAATGTTATGTCATGATATTCCCTAATCCCCTACTGTGTGACGTATGCATTGCGTCAGCATGTGTTTCCCGCCTTCGGGAGAAGACGAGGTTTAGCTGGCGAGCGGAGCAGACGTCGCTTGATCGCTCGTATACCATTTTCATTAATTGTAATCCTAATGTAATCTATATTTGTAAATAGTAATAAATGTGTGTTATCAACTATGGTCGTTGCCTTTCCCCACATTCATTATACGTTGTACATATAGTCTATAAATTGTAAAAATTAGTAAAAATAATTTATGAATGTAATATATCATTTAAAGAATTTTGTATCATAATCATTAAATCAAACCTAAACGATAAACTATGTCCTGCTGAGAAAAGATAAAAGTAATAATCCAGAAATGATTAACTACTGTTACTATATACACTGCTCGACATTGAAAATGCAAACACTAAAATCATCGAAATGTTGAAAAACATCGACATTGAAAATGTTGGATAATAACCAAGAAGGAGTGGTCAGAAAGTGAGGAAATTTGGAAAAAAGACAGAGACAGCAAGCAGCAATAAGTGATCTTTATTTCAAAATAATAGTCAGAATACAGAGCGAGAAGGAAGTCAGCTCAGTAGGATGTAGGACCACCAATGGCTGCGATGCACGAGGAAACAAGTCTAGGCATAGAGTCAATAAGAGTGCAAATGGTGTCCTGAGTGATGGCTCCCTTTCAACCATTTGCCACAGTTCGTCTTCTGAACGAGGCAGGGGCGGAGCCTCTGTATACCTTGCAGAGCATGTTGGCAGATGCGAGCACTGTGTGGTCAGGCATTATCCTGCTGAAAAATTGCATTAAGCAACCCCTAAAAGTAGGGGGTTGCCACCGGCCGTAATACATTATCCAAGTATCGTTGCGTCCTCATAGTGCCCTGAATACAAACTAGAGGTGGCCTGGAATCGTAGGCAATAGCGCCCCAAACCATTATGCCATGTTGTCGTGTGGTGGGGCATTCCACAGTTACTGCCGGATTAGATATGTCTCTCCGTCGACGCCACACACGTATGCAACGACTGTCACTGGATTAAACAGAAGCGTGACTCATCTGAGAACATGATGTTTCGCCATTCTGTCATCTACATAGCTCCAGTCCGGAATTATTCTAAACATTGGCGTCTATGCTGTGGGTTCAATGGCAGCTTAATGGACGCCGTGAGTGCAGGACACGTTCAACCAATTGACAGGAAATGGTTGTGGTCGACACGAAAACATCAAGGGTATCGAGTATCTTGCACATGCTGCAGAATCGTGGTACAAGTGACTTGCGGGACCGCCACAGCTTGTCGTCGGATGTGTCGATCCTCGCGTCTTTCTGGCTGCACCTGCACCCCTCCTTCTTCCCACATTTTCTTGTTCTAACCATATTCGCCATAGCCGATGCACCATGCTCGCATCCATTGGGTATAAGCTGCGATTTGACGTAAGGACCAAGCCGCCCTTCTCAGCCCGATCACCATACACCCTCGTAAAATCGTCTATCTGCTGGAAGTGCCTTCATTGATGGCAGCCTGGCATTCTCTCCTATTACAGGTATCCTCCGACAAAAACCAACTTTCTTCGATAATTCGGCTTGCAGAAATAACGACACAAATATTGCCCATTCTGCACGTTCCTTCCCTTATATCTTACTTCACATGCGTCAGAGAGCTGAGCATTTCACATCATTCGCATAACTCAGTGACGGGCGTCTACTCTAAAATTTGCATAAATTTCTGACCACTCCTTCTTCGTGTTGCATTTTCAATGTCGAGCAGTGTAAAAATACTTTTGCTGTTATAGTAAAAATTGAAAATATAACTCATCGATTAGTTTATACAAGTAATATCTTAGTCTGTTACAAAATTTAGACATTTTGGTTATCATATTAAAGAATAAGATAAAGAACTAACAAAATATTCATGTTTGTTTATGTTCTAAGAAAGGCTGGTCTCGGGCAGTCATCTTGTTCTCCAAAAGAGAATTCACTTAATTATTATAACTTGTTTGGGATATGGTATTTATATCTTCAAATATCACAGACCTTGAAAAAGATTCAAAAATTTGAATCATCACTTTTTTGTCATTCAAATCTTTTAAATCTAAATCTAAAAAAAGTGCCAATGCTTTTAAAAACTGGGAAAATTAATTTTATTGACATCCAGTAGACATATTCATTTAATATAATAATTTTAAGTTATTAGTTAAATCTGGCTAGATTTTTTTATCTTTTGGAATTAGTTTTTTTTTTATAGCACACTGTTTAAAAAGATGATTTTCAAGTGTAGAAATGAACATCAATATTATGAATCATTTCCAGAGAAAAATATTAAAATACTGAATTAATATGAAATCAGATTTTATTCACAGAAAAAAGTGATACATTATTATTCTAAAGGAATCCAAAAATATTATGTTATGAAAAAATATATAAAAATGAAATTTACATACCTTGCGCAGCTTTTCAATAGCATCTTTTGGTACCTTTTTACCAATAAGTTGTTTAGAAATTACTTTAAATTTCATTCCATTAAAATAGCTTATGTTAAGTGATGATAACCATGCCTTAATGTTAGGCGGAGGTTTTATTCTAGCAGCTCTAGATAATACAGAAGTTTTATCAAACTCGTCTTTCAATAATATTTTCAATCTACGAAATAACAAGAGAAGTTTCACATATGTCACAGGATTATCTGTATGCTCTTGCAGTTCTTTATGTAATGTATGCCTAAAAAAATAGACATTTAAATGAATTTTAAAAGCCAGTTGTAAAATTATACAAAAGAATCAAACATACATTTCAAATTTAGCAAATAACCTACAGCTAACCAGGGCAGTTTATGTTTAACTAGCTTTTATCTTGGCCATCATTATTGGGATTTCTTGATCATTATATTGGAAAAATGGAATGATTGCCATATAAAGGAAACATAATTGTTGTATCAGGAAAAATTATGTTTGAAAATTATCTGTAATCATCTACACGCTTCAAATGTACTTAATAGTCTCTTGATAATCAATATGCTTTACATTTAATTGAATTTTACTTTAATTGTCATATTGAGACTTCACGTGACTGTTGTATGTGACAGAAATGGCAATTTTCAGATTTACTTGATTCTGTGTAATGTATTATAAGTCAAAACTGCTTTTTAGTGCAAATATTTTAATACTTCAAAAATAACAATTTTAATCTTAACTGAAATATTTAATTATTTACTTACAATTTTATATTGTAAACAATAATAAAAATGCATCTACTCTTTATCACAGTTAAATGTAGTAACATGTTGAACTTCCATATGCATAAAATAATGCTTACTGATATGCTACAACAAGACATTATTTTTCATGTGAAATGTGATCAATGCAATGCAACATTTCGAGAACTGGAATTTTAGATACTTATTGAGAAAAAGAAATGAACGATTTGATTAACATTATTTGAATATTGTATTGCAATTTAGTGACTCATTGGAATGGGTGGGAAATACATTTTACTTGATAAATACTGTAACTTAGTTTAAAATTCTGGTACTTGCGTATTATCCCATCGACCATGAAACTGTTGCCAAGCAACGAGATTTTGTTTTAGTTTTGGATAAGCATATTATAACAATACACTCGTAACATCTATGCTTTTGTTTGATGTAAACTCGACTAATTCACAAAAAGACACTTTACTTTTTTGTGAACAAGGACATAAATTAGTTGTTATTTCTGTAATTTTTTTCCCTCATTTTGAAGACACAATTAAAATTTGTGACCTGCTTTCTACACAACAGAAAGCAGTGGATTACTTTTAAGGTTATGGCATCCTACTACAAAAAACGTGTTTGTTCATGTAAATTGGAAAAGAGAATGGTTTATAAATGGTCAGCTGAACATGACCTACAAAATAGTCTGTCATAGTAGATTAAAAAATACCTATGGGAAGTATGTACTTACAGCATTCTAAACAGAGCTTCCAATAAAAAAAGAGGGTTTAAAAAAATAGTATAAACCAATAAGCCTCTTTATGGGTGGAATACTGTTTACTTATATAATAAAGAATTGTCAATCTTTTCATATTTCCACAGGAGTGATTGGTGCACCTCTGGCAGGATCTCCACGAATTTAGATGGTTCAATGGCAGACAATTTCTTAAAAATGCTTGCTTTATACAAATTTACATATTTTCACATAAAGTAACTTCTTAACCCTTGACATCTGGGAGACGTCATTCATATCATGTGCCATTTTAGACTTTGCCGTCTATAAGATGTCGAGAACTGTCTTTGGTGAATACAATGCAATATATTATTAGATTCTTTAACTGTTTCAATTATGCGTCGATGCTGTTTTGTTTAGATTATTTCAGATGCTTTCTCTCTCTCAACAGAAACAAACAAAATTGCATCACCAAAACTGTAAAGAAAAAAAAGCACAACAAAAGTGGTAGTCAGTATAGCAGTGATCTCGTACACCAATCACAATAGTACATATTTGAATTTAGTAAAAATTAGAAATAGTTTTTCCAACATGTCTAAGTTGAATGTATTATATGAAAGTGACAATGAAAGTCTATTACTCCATTCTAGTGATGATAATGAGAATTAAAATGGTCATCAAAATGTTTATACTGTTGAGTATTCAAGTGATGCTTCAAAAAACAAGTGAAGCTAGCTCTGTTCAACAAAATGTTTGTAAATGTGCAAGACCTATCTCAAACAGTGAAGATTCTGATGTAGAAAAGGATGAATGGAATTGGAAGGGAAAAGAAAATATTGTGAATATAAAACACTTTATTGGAACTTCTGACATCAACTGTTTAGTTCTACAAAGATTGATAGTTAGCGAAACAAATAGATATGCAGCACAAATGGAAATGGAACAAAACATGAAAATGAATGAGAAGCAGTATCCACTAACAAATTATGAAGTTAGAACATATTTTATGTTATGCATTATAATGTCACAGGTAAAAGAATCTAAAATAGACATATATTGGTCAAAACGAAAAATATCAGAAACACCCATATTTTCGCAAACTACGCCTCGTAAACATTTTGATTACAATAAACTATCTTCACTTTCTGGATGATGAAATGGTTTCTAAAGGAGACAGAATATGAAAGGTTCAATCAGTGGTGGATTACTTGAATAATCAGATTTCCACAGTTAAACAATCCAGAACAAAATACCATCACAGACAAATCCCTAATGAAATTCAGGGGGTAGATAAATTACATGCAATTCATAACATCCGAATGAGCAAGATTTGGAATTAAATTTTATAAATAATGTGAATCAAATTCTGGGTATTGTTACCAATTTAAAATTTACACAAAACAAGACAAAATTCAAGGAAATAATGAACCTATTTTGGAAAGTGCAGCTGTGCAATTAGCCGAACCTATTTTAGGGAAAGGATATACGAGGGCTATCCAGAAAGTAGATTACGTTTTGGAATAAAAAAATAAACAAAGTATAGGAAACAAATTTTATTATATACAGATGAAAGCCACACTCAAATACTACTTTTCTACATAGTCACCATACAAATTAAGGCATTTATCGTAGCGATGTACGAGCTTGGAAATTCATCGTCGAAAAATTCGGCCGCCTGCGCCTTCAACCACTTCGTTACCTCTTCTTGCAGCTGTGCGTCGTCATCAAAACGCTGCATAGCCAGCCACTTCTTCATTGCTGGGAATAGGTGGAAGTCGCTCGGTGCCAGGTCGGGACTGTACGGCGGATGAGGATGAGGAAACAACTCCCACTTAAAAGATTCAAGAACTTTACGAGTGACATTTGCCGTGTGGGCCGGGCGTTGTCGTGAATCAACAAGATCTTAGAGCTCAACATTCCTCTGCGCTTGTTTTGAATTGCTCTTCTGAGTTTTTGGAGAGTTTGGCAATACCTTTGAGAGTTTATTGTAGTGCCTCTTTCCAGGAAGTCCACCAAAATTACACCTTTTCTGTCCCAAAAAACAGTCGCCATCATCTTCCTTGCCGACATTGCTTGCATGCATTTCTTGGGTTTTTGGGGAGAACTTGTGTGCCCCCACTGCATTGATTGCAATTTCGTTTCACAGTTCACATGTTTCACCCATGTTTCGTCACCAGTAACGATGCGATCGAGTAAAGAGTCACCATCCTTATGGTAAGCGTCCAAAAAGTTCAACGCTGCAGCCATTCGCTGATTTTTGTGGTCCTCTGTCAAGACTTTTGGAATCCATCTTGCACAAAACTTGTGGTAACCAAGCTTTTCGCTGATGATTTCGTGCAACAAACTTCGCGAAATTTGTGGAAAACTCAAAGAAAGTTCCGTTATTGTGAAATTTCGATTTTCACGGACTTTAGCATCGACTTTTTCGAGAAGTTCGGCGGTCACTATGCTGGGTCTCCCACTTCGATCTTCGTCGTGAACATTGGTTTGGCCATTTTGAAATCTTATGACCCACTGACGCACTCCACCTTCAGTGATAATGTTGTCCCCATACACTTCACGAAGCTGCCGATAGATTTCTATCGGTTTACAGTTTTTTGCAGTCAGAAACCTTATTACTGAGCGCACCTCGCAGCTCGCGGGATTTTCAATTAACGCAGACATTTCAAACCGTCACAGTATCTGAACGGAGCACAGCACGGCTAGATGCAGACTGAGCTGCGCAACGCTCTGACCCCAAGATGGCCGCGCTAGCCCCGCCCCTAGCGGACACAGACGGAAACGTAATCTACTTCCTGGATGGCCCTCGTACCTTGTTTTCAGACAATTGGTATTTGTCGCCTAATTTATTCAAAATTTTGAATGAAAAAAATACAAATGTTGTTGGAATGGTGAGGGGAAAAAATTGGAAAAATATGCCAAAGAAGCTGCCATCATATAAGTTAAAAAAAAAAATAAAAAAAAAAAAAAAGAGAAATAAGAACACTTGTAGAGCTATTCTGTCCTTATGCTGACATGACAAGAAGGGTGTGCATATAAAATATGCACAAAACTCTCAAAAACAGAAACAGTTGATATGGGGAAAATAAGAAGACAGGTGAAAAAGAAACTGTGTGGAAACCAACCTGTATTGTGGAGTACAATCATGGAATGGAAGGTGTCAATAGGCAAAACCAATGTCTTGTATTTTTTCCTCTCATGCGAAAGTGTGTAAAAGGATACAAAAAAATTTTCTTTTATATGTTTGATATAGCTGTTCATAATGCTTATGCCTTATATTCCAAGTTGTCTACTTCACAAAAGCAATCAATTGTGAATTTCCAATTAAATATTGCAGAAGATATGCTCTGTTATATGTCCTTTCTGAACTATCTGACACGCGGAAGACTGTCGCAAAGTGAATACCCAACTTGGTTACAAGCAAAGCACTGGCCCACGCATATTTTCCTAAACATATACCTGTGACAAATAAAAGCAACATCCTACAAAGAGATGCCATGTATGCATAAAACATGGTGTAACAAGTGAAACAACTTGGCAGTGTAAAACATGTCTAGTTCGACTACATATTCCAAATTTTGAGATATATCATACTTCACAGAACTACTAAATTATTATTTTATAGTATTACTTAATTACTATATAACACTAAATAAGGTTGATATATAAGTTGTACATTAACTTATATATCAACCTTATTTAATGTTACATAGCAATGTAAATTTGAAAATCAAATGTTCTGTTTCTAAGCTTGCACATGAGTGTCTACAGTTGAGCCAACTTCTTCGGACACGTTGA